CGACTATTGGCGAACCAAGTTACCGCCCAATGGAATCTGTCGATCGTCTGATACATGCTCGATTGTACACAACCAATCAAATGTCTGACAGACAACGACATACGAATAAATGTTTGATAAATATACATTTTTTAATAAACTCATTTTTCTATATTTGCAGATATAAGTGTGGGGAATTTTTATTTTTTCATGAATTTCAATTATTTCCATCTTTATTTATTTTATCAGATAATCTGGGTATTGAAAAAAAATTTTTCAAATCATTAAAAATGAATGATTATTGCATTATATTGATTAATAATTTTTTTTATGACTAAAAGAATTTCTATATTTTTTTAGTGATCAATTATTGATAAAATACTTTGTTAAATTACAAAAAGTTGTTCTGTAATTTAAATTCTTAATAAATTATTAAAGAGGATAAAAAGAAAATTATTATATTATTGATTAATAAATCATATTTTTAATACTTCCTCAAACAATGAAACGTTGTAAATAAGTATCAGAAAAAATTTTATTGAAATGCAAGTTAAAGATATTTATTTCGATTAAACGAGTTTTTTTTTCACATAATAATTGAATTAAGTGGCATGGATATTTTTTCGAATAATTTACATAATTATTCCATATTTTTTTTATTCGAGTGTAGAATATAATTCACTAAGCGGATATATTATACGCGACAGCTGTAAATAAATTTTTTTCCTAGATGATTAGAAGCTTTGCTGATACTTTAAGTATACCCACATGACATTAACCAACAATCAAATATCTCCGGAGGCAGGTTACTTTTGTACGATGATGGTGGCACCCCCAACGTAGTCCAGGTTGGAAGAGAGGGTGCGGCACTTTGGAATTAAAACCTTTGGCCGCGGGGGTGTGTCGTAATTATTATCTTGGCGTGTAATGCTTGGTAAATCTGGCTTACCTACGTGACACCAAGAGTAGACATTCAACCACTTAGATGGTGATGCAGCTCATGGTAATATCTACGAATGCAGACACGTCTACTGGAGCTCTTCTGTGCCAGAAAATTGACCCGAGAGTAAAAATGATAAATCGGTAATGGGTTGAACAGCTCGTGCGAAACGACTATGGCGATGTGGAGTCATAAAGAATGTCATGACCCTCATGAATCCATCGATTTTAGTCGTGGCAATATTATTGGACATGTTTAAGTTGATTATTTTATTTTCTATTTACCATGTTCACATTGTAACGGATCATCTTTATGAATGACCCGTCGTTTGGCAGGATAACAACAAGCTCTCATGTGGTCTAAAAAGAACTCGCCGCAGATCTTGACTGGACACTACTTGATAAATAGCTGTTTGTTATTGCACGCTGAGAATACAATCGCTATAGTGATACACTGGCAGAATGCTTTCCTCCAAGACATTACGATAAACCAGCTGAGTTTTCGATTAAATGTGACTCGTTGAATTTTTTCAAAGAAAATGAGAAAGAATCCTGATTGATACCATTGAATGATGATATTTCCATGGGCTATTGGCTGTATATAATGTCGGAGAAAAAGAAAAAAGACTTTTATGTATGTAAGTATAGAAGAAATGATCGAACGGATGAACAAGGTGCACTGGTCACTGGGGCGTTGACCTGATGCGCCGGGCCAGACCAAACGAGTGTGAGCACAACGGAATCTCAGGTTAGGGAGAGACGTGGTCGTTTGGAAAAGAGAAGGAGAAAGCAAGCACATAAGAAAGAAATAAAGATGATGAAGAAAAAGAAGCGGATCGTCAGGGACAAAAAAGACTGAACGACCGGACCGAGGATAAAAAAACACACACACACACTTGATTTATTTATCACCCTTCTTGATGAATGCTTGGAGAACAGCAGTATCCAGTTCGAAATAAGCATCAGGAAGTTACCAAGAAGCAGTTATGTGAACTAACATTGTGTCTATTAGGTATTTATAAGACTTGAAAAACTTTAGAAACTCGTCACTTTCGGTGCATTCCAAGTCACACTTAATACCTCAGGTCTATTACCCTCATACCAACATCTTGAGGCTTGGATTGAAATCATCGACCGGATAGACCGGTAAAAAATACATAATCATTCAATTTCAAATAGTTTGCTATTTTTCAAAGTATTTCAGCTGGAGAGCATTATCTGTTTAACAAGCTGATCCATCATGATATACTTATATTCTTACAATATACCTATTGCCGATTATCCAAGGCAAAAAAGAGACATAAAAAAGCCACATTATTATGTGAAGGCTGAATATAAACCAAGCTGATGCTGTAATGAGAACGCGTGCTCACAAGAAGAATATGATATCGCACATTGGTGCCATTTCTCGATTTCAAAACCACAAACCTCCTCCTCCTCCTCCTTCTCCTCTTTCTCGCTTTATCCATTCTACTTGTTCAACATATTATGCCTTATAAACTGTATTAGTGCATTGCCAATCGTACGTGGCCTAATAGCCAAGATGGGAGCAGACTATCTTGGTCTTCTGTGGTTTATGAATCCTACCACATAAGTTCGTGAACAATTTAGTAAATACTCATGCTAAATCATACTAACAACTAACATAATAATGTTCATCTCCAGAATAATATTGTTCTGATTATTTAGCAAAAGTTTTATCAAAAATATTCATCAACAATAATTGTTTCTAGTGACCTAATTATCAAAACTCTCTTTTACTCTTGAAATAAAAAATATTCTCTTTTTAATTGATATTAATTTTTGCTGATTAAAATAATCATTAACGAAATGAATAAAATCAATAACCAAATAATTAACCTGAATCAATTGATAACTTTAACGATATATCAGGTGAATTAATTTGTCACTTAATGAGTTTAATCTCAGCACTAATGACTCATTAATTTAATTATCAGCTTCTGCTATTATTTATAAGCAGTAATTATTTTCCTAGCGTGGATGATGAGCAGAATTCAAAGTTGGAGAAAGATAAAAATGAAAAAATGTCTGTAGAAATAGCGGTGATAGGATCGAAAGACTGCTTTTACTCAGTTGGAAATAACGAACGACAGCAGCAGTTAACGTTTGGTCCAAAGAAATCGCTCGCGTTATAGGCGCGGTGTCCAGACGTTAAGGAAAGAACTTGTCTCAGTAGTGGCTTGGAGACTATTACTGTGTGGCGATAAAGTAACGAGGGAAACGAATTAATCAGGCACACACAACCAATTCTATATACTTCTGTATATACGTGATTGAAATAGTAACGACGAATCTCGAGCAGCCACACCCATATACGTGGTCCATTGGTCAGATTGATAAGCTAAGAGAAATCTTACAAATAGGTGGACAGATATATACTTGATTTCTAGCTACCGCGTATGGTATTGTGATATGCCAGTTAATTCGATTGATCTTCAGCGTATCCCAAGGGACATAACGTGATACGTATGTGCAGGACAGACATTATCACCCGGATATTTTACAGACTCACGTATTATGTCATATCGCAGTAGACTGGTAAGATGGCCTTTCCCATCAGACGGGACAATGTCAATGCACAAGTCTGCTACTACTCACATGATATTCATAACTTGCAAAGCACACATAGGGGAATATCTTCTTCTTTCCTCCAGTGCTATCTGCATCCGGCAGAAGAGCATCAGAATGGGCGAGAAAATATGTTGAAAGATTTCTCCCGGGAGTGAAGCGTCAAAAGCGGTAACTTCTTTCCTCTATAGCTGCGCATAAGTGTATTTTATCAATGAATAATCGTTAATCTAACTTGATGTACGTGTCTATATACTTCAAGCTGTTTATATTGTAAAAAATTTCCAGTGGTAAATCGCGAAATTCTTTTATCACGAGTTCAAATGGTACAGGTCGTTGAAAGATTATTTATTAATTCACAAAACCTTGTCAATAATTTTTAAAATTACTAGTCTGTTAGAAAATTTCTCGAATAAGTCAACTCGATAAAATCATTACTCCAAAAAAAAAATTAAATAATATTAATTGATAAAAATGAATGAACTCATTATCTAAAAGCCTAAACAGTAAAATGAAATTTGTAACTTGTCTTTCATTTCCTTAAAAGGAAACACTAACTGCAGATTTACTGATAACAGGTAAAATATTAGCTAACACTCGAGTAATGAGTGGAAAGACTGCTATTACTACTGAATTTTTACCATGGATACAAAACCGAAAAATGAACAGGTGCACGGAGGAGATTAACGATAAGATGGAATGACAACAAGTCGATCTGTCTTGGTATGCCATAGACCGAGAATGGTCTAATGCAGCAGCACGCGGGACTTGCGGTGAAAGCCCCGGGGCTCTCCAAGGTCCATGCTACTGCGGCGATCGATTTTATTGTGTATACATACATATACATAGAGACTGAGATATCTGAAACTCGTTCAACAACAGTTAGCGGAGCTGTTCATTCAAGGTACGCGATTACAGGCATGGAATCGAGATGTCTCGTAACGTACGTTCTGTAGGTTTATTCTAGACGCAGATGAGATCAAAACTCCTATCGATCTCCATCTGTTCAAGCCATGTGAGCAGATCGATCGGCCCATTATCGATTCTAACAACTATCAAACATTTCCATACAATTTGTAAGCAACAGCAATGGAAATGGATTGAGCTGGATAAACTCTTGAACAGACTATCATCCACAAGACGACATTTGAATAGGATCAGCTGCAGTTACGTCGTGATCAGAGCAGGAATACAAGTTGTGCCACCAGTTGTTCGTTCAGGGAGATGGTTGAATGCATCGATACATGACATGAAAAGAGATGCAAAGTATTCTTACTAAGAATATTGGAGAGAAAGGAAGAAGAAGGAGCTGAGTAGTCTTTCTGAGATGGGGGAAGCGGTGATACCAGTACCGGAGTGCTGCTAGTGGTCAAGCGGTTCAACACTTGCTCCAACGCACGGAGATTTTGCCCCCTCCTGCCGCAGGCGCCGTCACTCGTGGCTTCTTTCCTCTTTTCGCCTCTAGGCCATTCTCGAGAGGCGCGCGCGCCAACGCGGTCTCCCGTCCAGGTCTCACCGACCTCGACCAATACGCGTGCACACCATCCCATCCACCTGCAAAGCTTTCCCAAGAACTTTTCCAAAACTCCTGCCACGTGATCCTTCGACCACGTGATCCTCAATTATCTAGTGACAAAACATCTATTTTCCATTGTGAATTATCCGTTTAGTGTATACTGCAATTACACAACTTATGTGTCAAATTGTGATCAATATCGTGCCTTCAATATCCGTTTCTTCAAGGTTTATTTCCAATCTAATCTTTGCCATCACAGCTGATCAGTTTATACTCCAAGTTCATCTATTGTGCTAACAGTTCACCGGTGGTTTCAAAGTTTTCCATCAAATAATTTTAATAACATTCAAAATTCCTGCTAGATCATTAAGTCATTGGAACATTTTATAAAAAAAAATCAAAGAATAGTGATTGTCATCTAATAACTATAAAGATGCTTCATCATTCTAATATTCGGACAATGATACTTTGATCAACTAGCAAAAGTGTTGCGCAAATATAATAGGAAAGAATGACAATGATGGTATCTAGAAAAGTGATGACTCTTCCGACGGTACGGAGTTTATAAATTGACATCATTTATTCATTCGATTTGTCTTTATATCATACCTTCACGCTGACAACATCCCAATTACATATGGATACTTGCTATGTCGGTGCTTGAGGACAGCAAGGTAGACAGGACCACTGCGATGTCACCATTGGATGAAGTTGCGTCTCCGACAAGTGTCAAGTCTGAGTTGATGGTCACTGACATGCTTGATGAGCAAGAAACAAGAACAACAAACTGCGGAAAACGAAAACGGAGTATTGGTGATGAAGGACTCAGTTTACGAAAACTTCCATCATTAATTTCATCTCATTCTACCAATAATAACAACAATAATAATAATAACAGGAATGATAATAATAATGAAAACAACAACGATGTGACTTTTGTATTGGAAGAAAGTGGAGATAATTTACAAGAAGATATTGACGACGTAAGTTAATTAGATATTTAATCATAGGAAAATTGATAGGAAGAATAAATTGCCCAACACATGATTTTCTGACTTTGATGATTGGAATGTCGAAAACCAGTTTCCGTATTCGCTTTCTTCGGCCTTAACCACATCCGAAGGAGACACATCTTGCCTGAGGCATTCAAGATGTGTAAAAGAAGCTTCTTCTGTCTTTCTTTTTCTCTCTCTCAACTCCATAGCACTGCTTTTTTCCCTCTTTTATCCCCGACAATGTTTTCGATTGCCGCGTGTGCCTCTATATATATACCTCGAGAGGGTTCCCCAATCACCCTGAGGGTGTGCTGACTTTGACTCACTAGCTCCAGGCTATCATGAACACGTCTGCTTATACGTTTAAATACATTTCCACTTCGGGACATTTTTTCATCTTGTTTTTGAGTTACCTCACATCGTTGTAATAAAATACACACCAGCTTTTTCATCCACCAACCAGGTGACAAAATATTCAACGAGTTTTTTCAATAAATCTGCATACTGGCATCCATCATCAATGCATTTACTGGTTCACTGATGAATAATACCAGCTAAACCTCTCGCAGTCGAGTTTTAGCATTTTTTCCAATAAACTGATAATTCTAAAACCCACGCAAGACTTTATATTTATCACATAAAAGTTAGACCGCGTTTTCCTTGTAAGTTATGACTCCTTGATACATTACCCATTGTAGCGGTAAACCTGCTAGTAGTTAACATTCTTAAAGAGTGAATCCTCACCATTGCAACAATAATAATAGCAGCTATAATAATTATAATTTGTCTGAAGCTAAGTAACCTAAAAGCCAATGTTAAATGTTTCCGTTTTCACGTTCAATTATCTAGCAATTAATTGCAAAACACTGTCAGTCTAAAAACCGTAAATCATTTTTTATTATTGAACTATTGTATGAAAATCCATGTATCTGAAGTTTTTTCTTTCGCATTTATATTCTTGCCCCATATAATTTTAACACTTTCTGCAATGTAATACAAACAGTTATCTATTTAACTAAAATATTGAGTAAATTTAAAAACGATTATACCTGATGAAATTACACGATTGGCCACGAAATTGACCGTGAAGGAATACTATACTTGACTGTTTGTGGCAAATACATTGTATTTTATTGCAAGGTAAAATAGATAGTGCAGTGAGGAGGGACAGCATGAATGATTCGTGCTGTGGTTTCCCTACGCGAGCTAGCCACGCGCTGCTTGCGGGCATTCTAGTCTCTACATTCAACTAATTTTGTTATTGTTTTTCTATTTTTATTTTTTTTAATTGTAATTAAATTTAACTAAAAACAAATAACGTTGTAAATTAAAAATAAAAAAAGACTGTTCATTGTCTTCAATAAAAATAAAAAATAACAAATAGAAAAACAGTAAACATTGTTGTAATTGATGGAATGTATATAATTTTTGTGTAAAAGCTGACAAATTTATTATTGAAAATAAAACCTTTGCACTCTTCACTGTCTGATTCACGTTTCTGTAATAACTTTAGCAAAATCAGTGGGATATTTACCAAGCTTGGACAGTGAAAAGGGTGAATATAGCCACGTTCAAAGACACACGAAGCGAATGCTAATAAACGGAAAGATAGAGTGTCATAAAAGTTTTTACTGTCTTGCCTATTTTCTTATGCTTTAACATATTTACACCCATAGCTATAGTCGTACAGAAGTCATTTTACTATTTGCCTTTTCTTTTATTACCTGTGTGAATAGATATTTTTATATTTTGAGCTTACATCAAAGTGGATATAAAATATAAATAATACACAAGTATTGATAATTATTTGAAAAATTAATGATCATTAGAAATGCGATAGGCATAAGTATTATTGATAAAAAAAAAATTTAAGCACAATATACAGTGAATAATGACGTATCAGACAAAAAAACAAAATTAAATATGTGTATTTTCTAACGGAGTATAGAGAAACCTGTCGGATGATACGCACTTCAAGCATCCTCGTCAATGTCAAAATAAGTAGGTCGACCTATCGAGTTACGCCTCTTTCAAAAAGATGGTTCCACGTCCACATCGAGATCAGAGATAATTACATTCATCTCATAATAATCAATAAGTATGGCGAAATAACTAAATTTCACAAAGCTTTATTGATCACTTTAATTTTAAGATTAAAAAAAAATTCATTCAACTTTTGTTTTTTATGACTTTAAAAAAAGAGAAATTTTTGATTGAAAATTGCATTTAAAGATCTTCATAAAAACACAATTAATATGATTTTGATCTGTAAAATACATCCATTATCGATAAGTTCATTTTTTAATTATTTATCCAATAAAAAAATGACTCATTTAAAATATTTACTTTTGATACGTAATTTATAAAGATAACATTAATCTTAATAAATTACAGTAAATGTATTCTAAAAAAAAAAATTAATTACATATTGACAACGAAATTTTTTAAAGTTTATCTAAACAAATGGAATGAATAAAGAGTATCATTTTTTTTTTCTAAATAATACCTTTTCTCTTCTGATTTCTTAGCGCTCATGCCTGATGACTGAGGATGAAAATGATTAATTATAGAAAACATCCAACAAAAATTCGTTTTTAAATACTTTATCTTAAAGTTCAAAGCAAAATAAAATAAATTGAAAAGTGGTTGTCAGATTCATTCAGAAACTTTCTTACATACTTTCATTGACTCATTTGTCGACATGACTGCTCAACTAATTCAACTAATAACCTAATAGACATATCCTTCATATTATCTATCCATTTAGAAGGATAAACCATGTGCTTTCACTTGGAACACCACATTTATGACCTGCATTAATTATCTAACAAATGGGCTTTCTATTATGTTGAAACAATAACGATAGCTAATTTAACATCTCAGTCAATTGTCAATCGCTGTCAATTGTCCAACGTCAATCCTGACATATTTCACATTTTCGAATATTGAATTATTTAAAAAATAGATTTGAGCCTTGGAGGCAACCGTCGGTCCTTAAGTAGTGCAACTTGCACGACACCCAACATGTATTTATGCATGAGTCGCTGCAATGATCAACTAGTATGCTTGCAGACACAATCTCCTTTATAACCAAAGCTTTCACGCTTATGCGTTGAAATCGGTACTGTATGACGATCGTGCCGCCGGCTAATTCGACCTACCGATCTGCGTTCTTGCTGGCACACACAGGACACAAACAGATTGATGGATGGATGGACGACGCGAACGGGCCATTTCGAAATAATCGTTTGTCACACGACACCAATATATTGCTAAACTCTCGCTCGACTTTCTTCCTTTTTCATTGTTATTATTATTATTAATCATTCTTTTTTCTAAACGTTATCATTATCTCTTTATGCATTTATTATATTGCTTTATTCAATGCTCCATAATTGTATCCATAAATTTTTAAAAATATTGAGAACAGAATAAAGTTCTTACAAGTATCATCATAAATCAGAGAGTAGATTATTAATTAAAATTACTCTTACACCACAAAACTCGTTTACTCATATCACTCATAGCCGCAAATTATTATGTATAAATATATTTTGACATTTAATGAGGAATATTCATTTAAACAAATATACGTTTTGCAAACGGATGTCACAATTGACATGATTGGAGATCAGTTTTTTATGTGCTGATGAATCTAGATCTTGAGATTTAAGTTTGCAGACGGAGAGAGAAGAGTAAAGAATGAAAGAAACGATTGGTTGACATTTCTACGCTTTTTTTACCGTCTTCATTGCCATCGATTCGCGCGTTTGATTACTTAGCTAATTACGCACTGGCCGATTATGGATTTATATAGCAAAGTCCAGAATCCCTGGCGTGAGAGATCATAGAACCTCCGCGTGTAAGTCTCACGTTGGTATGTTTATTTTTACCGATTTCTTGCAATTACTAAGTTGCACGCAAAAGCAGAGTCACCAACGTTTATAACCGAAACAAAAATTCCTGAATAATTTTTCATATCTTGGGATGTTAAACTGTCTTAAGTGGACTAATGGACGTACCATTTGATACTACATTCTCAGTATATAATTATATTACCGACAGAGAAGATATTTTTTCTAATGCTCAGTCATAAAAATTATTTGATGGAATTATGATAATTATAAATGATAATTGTACGTTTATTGTGAATGGATTTTTAAGAGTATATTTGATGAATTTCTCTAAAAGGATCTTCCGGTTCTATACGATGTGATATACTGTAGTTCACCTTTACTCTGGAAAACGTGGGAACACTTACCTACTACTAATATAATAATTAGACCTTCAAATTACTGTGCCATTAAATATTAACATTATTAGACATCTATACTATCGTTGGCTCATAAAGAACTCACTAGAACATAAGAGCTACCGCATTTTTATAAACTGTTTAGTTTATTCCGTAACAAGCACACTTTCTTCCTTTTTCATCGGTTTTATGATACAAAAATTATTTTTCATAGATAGATAATTATTATACAACCATTCTGCTATTTTTATGTAATAAATATTACACAAAAAATCAATGTCTGTATTACTTACGTGATTGGAGCAAGATTGAGGAAACTGGGCGCACCTAATCACGACAGACTGCAGTTCTTCTAAAAAATAAATCATTTATTATAAACGTAAATAATTTTATAGAATATTTAAATTATTTATCATTTAAATGTTCATATTGATTAGGATTAATGCCTTCAATTTTTCTAATAATAGTTTCAAATAAATCCATTTAATAAAATTATTTTGAATAATAGACAATCAATGTTCTAACAAAACGAATTCGTTAATTAAACTGTAAGATTGAATAAAATAAACTCATCTAAGAACCATATTTATAAAGATAAAATACATTCACACGCACACGCATCAATGATCGACGTTGATCCCGTTAACTTGAACCCTCCGAGACTTTCAAGGAGATAAATTCAGTATTTTAGGCTGGAAATTAATAGTCAAAATGACCATTTCATTATAAATATCAACTGGAAGTGCTTATCGATGGCTTTTATGAAGAACATTATCATCATTTGGGGTCTCATTTAAATAATTATGAATTATATTGAATAAAGTTGAGAAGTTAATTAGCAACGACAACAGTAATAAATAGCTTTTGAGAAACGAAAGACAATAGATGAAAATGAACAGATGATTTGCACGACGAGTCAAGTGAAGTCTCGTCTTGGAGTAAAGTAGGATAAGGGCGTAGTGCGCGTTGGTTACCGTTGAGTGGATGGGTTGAGTGGAATGCCGTTTAGCGACTTCCCTCTCCCACTATATCACTAAATCCATCGTCTCTGTTACGCGTATATATTTTATTCGCGCATGTATCATATACTTTCATCTCTCTTTTCGTCTTCCTTCCGCGAATATCGTGTGGCTCTTTTGCCAGCTCTTGTTAGGCCAACAATTTGCGGTTGGCGAGAGAAGAAGTGAAAGAAAAGGAAAAGAAGAAGAAGAAGCCACCTTCGATGATGATCGTTCGTCTTAACGACCCACGCCGAAAAATTACGTGGACGGAAATCTGCCGCACTTAATTTGTTAACATGTGCATACCGGCCTCAAAACGTTGCCGCTTGCTTCATTTCGTCATCATCAAAGTAATTTCATTCCATACCCGTTATCCTCACTCTTCAAATAATTCCCATGTAATATTAACAGGTAGATTTAAGTTTATATATGAGCACATAGATCTAACAACGTTTATCTTTGATGACTTTTATAAAAAAAAATTTGAAAAAAAAATCAATCAAGATTCTTATTCGAGTGTTAGTTAAAATACGGTACTTTTTTCTAATGTCCAATTGGTAGAGTAATGATGATAAAAAAAATGAAACAGTAAATTATGATATATTTTTGTGAAATAACAAAAGACAATAAATAAAATAAAATTTATCATTTCGTCCAGTAATTGTAATTATGCTCTTTAGTTCATTACAGACAACCTTTAATGGCACTCGTCAATTTTTTGTTTTATTCTGCCACACCGATACATATTTTCTTTATCAGTTTCCTCATTTACTTTAGTACACGATTTCAAATAATGATATTTTTATTGCTACTAATGACCACTTATATTGTGTCAAATTATATTTTGAAATGAGTTATCAAGAATTCTGTGACGTCTTTCTGACTAAAAATTTATTTATCTACCATCATCTATTCTTTGAAAACCTTTTGTCCAATCATTTAAATGAAATAACATTTTGGAGTGGAAAATTTTTCATGCTCAGAAAAACGAAATAAAATTTATCCGAATCAACTGAGGTGAGAAAAGGTTCATGTACCATGAGAAAAAATTTACTGTAAACAAATGATTTCTTTTTCAACCAATAAAATCAAACTTTTAAATAGTACCAATGAATTATTTTTTCCAGCATTGACTTCGTAATATTTTTATATATTCAGATCTGATGGTTACTTGAAGTAATTCATTACAAAATACTTTTTCATTAAACTCGATTATTTTAAATAAAAATTTTTATACATAGCGAAAATCGATTGATTTAAAATTCAATGAATCATTTTCTATAATTATTCTATTTCGAATATTATTTTCAACTTCATCAATTATTATAAATTAAAAAACCTATTTATTTATTTATTTAAGTTTCTCAATTTTATTTATCTCCTTCTAACAAATAATAAAAAACAGATCTTTTCTACAATCAACAATTCAATTAATCACATTTTATTCTCTCGAGCTATCCTTTAATAAAACTGTCAATCCGTAGATTTATAATAGATCAATCCTGAATCAAATCTCTTTAACTGGCGGAGTCTCTGTAAGCATCAGAGATTTAAAAGTTGACTGATAAGACATGTATATGGACAAGTAGAAAGGCAAAAGAGTTGAAAGATCTCGTGTTGTCTGCATGAGCAAGCTTGCTATTCGCTCAAGGGGCGTCCCCGTCAGCCCCATCCAACGTTCCCTGGTCGATTCAGTGTGCGCGCGAGAGACCTAACACCGTAATAAGTGGCCCACGAGAGGGGAACTCCTCCCCGGGTAGAATCTAGTGCGCGCGAGACTTCACGGCATTGTGACTCCACGTGGTGTCGCCGTCATAAGTCTCAGCTCGGCTCCCTGTGCGTAATTTCGGCACGTAAGTGAAAAAGTAACATTGACGATATTGGACGAGAATAGCCGAGAGTACGTGGCTTTCTTCAAGTTTACGAAAGCCACTCACGACGTAATGGGATAGAGTAGGGACCAGGGGAACGTGTCAGAGGGGAAGCGAAATGCGACAATCAAGTGGTGGTGGCTTTGGCTAGAATCTTATAGTGAAACTTGGACGTCAGTTGCAAACGAATCACTAGACAGTTGATCATTAGTTGGTGTTAGTTACTTGTTGCATTTGTTCAAGATTTCGTGCTTACAGGAGCTTTTAAGGATTTAATTACTCCAATCCGATGTGGATCGTTGGTTTCCGAGAGACAGTGTCATATCTAATGTTATTACAGTGTGCATTCCCTGAGGAAAAAACCTGACACGTGGCTCCAAAAGTTGATCAATCATTTTAGACGTTTAAAAATAAATTGTGACTAAGGGTTATGTGCAAAGGAATAAATTTATTATTGATAGAAAGATATTATATTCTGTGATAAAATTGGAGGGTGGTAATCAGAAAACATTATACGAGTTAACAAGTGAGGGTTTCACCTTCCAAACCGGTACCACCAAGCTGGAGATCCTCGATATGTTTCCACCGCGCACGGAAGCGCCAACCGCTGACAAACTCGCGCTTTGTTACGCCCCCCACGTTGACATGACCGCTGTCATCGAGGTCGAGGTAAATCACCAACCGGATCAGTTAATTTTATTTACTCCTTTTTTTTTACTGTCAAGTTGAATACGAAATTGAAATGTCTTTATTGTATTTCATTCTACACTTTCGAAAGCATTTCATTTTCTGATTCAAGATAATCACCGATACTAATGGATATTTGTCTTTAATATAGATGGTTATCATCATTCACTAATTAACAAATGCATTATTATCAATCGTTTTAGCCTATCAAATTCATTTCTGAATATTTTCAAATTGCTTATCGATAGATATTTGTTAAAATTCATCGAATTATTTGGAAATTAAATAAATGATAATAAGTAGGAGAAACTATTTTTCCTTGGAATCCATCAAAATAATAGATTAACTTAGTCTGTAGATCATTTAGACATTGATAAAATGTATAATTTGAGGATTTACTTTTAAAAATCTCATTTTATTGTTTGAAAAAAAAAGTTATGCAATTAAGTGTAAACTCTTGAAATATTTTTAATGATATAGTATATTTCGGGTTAGACATAAAATAATTCAGAGATATAAAAAATAAATTTGTTTTTGATGTTGATAGGGTTAAAGATACAATAATCGAGGCAGCAGTTATTACGTAAGATGCTATAAAATGAAAAAAGAATTAAATCTCTCAATGATACATTCCCTGAGCAATGATTTTGTGAATAAAAGTGATGAAGGTCGAATAAACCTCTAGCGTTAATGACATCAATCCTCTATAACCCGGCGGTAAAAAACCGTGCGCATATAAACTATTTCACAATTCAAAACACAATAACAACTTTTTTTTGTTTTCAATTATCCATCATAGTCAGTCGTCTTTTATACATAACATAGCGATGGAGTTGCATCAAATGCTCAGCTGTGACTTGTAATTAAAAAAAAGAATAAAAAGTTGGAATTTATATTTCATGAATCAAACTAAAATGCATAGTTAGAGTTTTCTATATAGGGCAAACGTCATATGGGCATTCATAAATATAATGAGCTGATCGTTGTCTTGCGAACAGAAGGAAGTTGTAGCATACCTTCGTGTCCCTTTAATCACTTGCCAAGTAGTGGAAGAACGACAAAACGTTTACGCTTTTGCCTTGTCCAAGAAACGATCGATATCTCTTCAGAAATTCCGTAGATTCCGTTGCAGAAACTCAGAGGTTTATATGGAAAGTCTCCGTCAGTGATTTGCATCACTTTAATTTAATTTCAAGATATTTCACGGTTTATTTAATTTATAAAAAAAATTAACCAAACAAAAAATTAACTTCTTTTGGTCATTAAAGCCTTGGAGCTTGCTAAATAAACTTTAACAGGCTGAAAAAATTTTAATTATTTAATTGAATGAGTATTTTATTTACTTAATAGGATTGTTTGTTTGAATAAAACTTTTAAATGTGATACTTTGGAGAATTTTTTATCATATCTAATGAATTTATTTGCATTCCAGGATCGCTTGACGAGCCACGGAGGAATATCGTCATTAGGGGGTGGTAATTCATCCCCTTATTCAGGTGCTCATCATCATGGCCACAGGGGTAATGGCAATAACGGAGGTGGAATGCCCCATCATGGGGGTGCATCTTTACCTACAGCATCAGACTTCCAACCACCCTACTTCCCACCACCTTTCCCAACCCATCATCATGCTCCAGCAAGTCCACAGCATGGTTTGGGCCAACCTCAACACCTCGATTATCTCGTTGGTGATCCCTACACCCAAACTCTCAACACTCTCCATCAGCATCATTACAATCATCTTAGTGCAGCAGTCACAGCTGGCCAGAGAAGTGGAGACCTTAGGAGAGATGCCGAAAGTATACACGTGGTAAGTCTCCTGACAAGTTTAAAAAAATTTTTAATGACAAAAAATTCGATCACTCGCTGACGACTGAGAAAAATTGCAAGAGAGATGTGGAATTCAAGTGCCGTTATAAAACCCTCTTTCTGATGATCGTTACTCGTATATCTTGATGCTCGATAAACGACTAATCGAAAGCCATCCATTCATAGAATATCTATGAGATTGAGAATAGATTTGATACAATCATGTAGACAGAAAAAAATTATCCTTGAAATGAAGAAAAAGTGAACGAATCATCAGCAATATTATTTTTTACTCAAACGAATAAAATTACCCATAATATCTGAAAAAAAAATTATCATCAATAGCTGAATGATGCAAATATGATAAAAAAAAAATATATAAACCATTAAAAAAACCCAAGTTGAAAAAATGATTCCACAGAAATATTCGACATGACTACCACCTAAACAGGATCCTGACGATATTTTTATCTTAATCTGCGAAAGCTTTTACAGATATACCAACGGTGAATGAACTTAGAAAACAATTCTCCGGAAATATAAATATATAATTCCGTGAAAAAAAATTTCTCAGCAAAACAATCTCCCAATTGAGGCTATAATAGATGACCGATTGAATGATAAACTGTTGGATTTCAATACAATAAACTAGGATAGAAGTGTGGAATCATGTACCAGAATTCACGTTATTGTTTTATGATAGTCTGGTAAGACTCCACAACTTTCACATAGTCGATTGCCGGCGCAATAATAACAGTGGTCCAGCCGGACTCTTGACGAAAAAATTTCACTCTAATTGACGCTCAGTAAGCTCCCCTCTATCTGATGGTACGTTTGCCCATATATTCGCATACCACACGCAGCTTCGTTCTTTCCACAAGGGAGATTACGTTCGTCCATGCTTTTTTTTCCTCATCCACACGATCATGTGACAGTATTGAGAAATGAGAAAAAAAGCACCCAAATCACTGCAGAAATTTGATCCTAACATCTAAAGAATCCGGTGTCCCTTTATGTGTATTTCTTAATTATCATCAGTGACAGGATCTGTTTAAGTGTCAGTTGATAAAAAAATTTTTTTCATCCAAAATTAATTCATTGAATATTCAGAATATTTATCAGATAATCTGAACAAAATATATCCGAGGTAAACACCACAATACTGCATAGTTGTTCATAGTTTTCCTGAAATAACGTCGACAGTTATGCTTGACGTTAAGTTGTACATTCATCAACATAGACCTCATTCCAGAATAAAGTCTGACAGAAGCCCTTGGTGATGGTGAAACTCTGTTGAAAGTGCGTTAGCTTGAATGTATAATTTTTAAAAATCTTGCCTGACATTCTGCTTCAAAATAATTCGCTTATTAAGTTCTGGGCTTTGACATTCCTCGGAGGTAGATGCCACGGACGTTTGCTTTGAAGCAAATATGCCAAGAATCACAATAGCAGGCAACGATCTCAAGATATATAGCTATGAGTATGAGTAACAGAGATAAAAAAATCACCCCAATTTTCTCTCATTTTAAATTGCCACACAATTGAGTGCTCATCAAGCATCAGATCTCAGCTGCTAATCTCTACTCTAAATGCCCAATTAATACATCAATCAACTATTCCATCAGTCTAGCAAAATAATATTACAATTCATTTGTTAACAATTTATTGAGAATAATTTTTTCCCAAGAGAAATATTTTAGTTCAAGCTCAAAAGTTTTTTAATAAATCAGTAATTGAATATTAATAAATTTAATTGACTGTAACAAAGGCTTTGTTTCAGTCATTATGAAGCTTTTATTAAATCCTGAAATTAAACAAAAAATTCCATGAAAGTCGTATCAATTGAAATGAAAATAGTATCAATAAACAGAATAGATTATGCAGAAGAAAAATGTGTAGGTTGAACAGGGTTGAAAGTAGTCGATAAAATAACGATAACAGACATCCGGACGTATTGCCGAGGGGATCGCGAATGAATGAAGAGAGAAGGAGAGTCTGAGATGGGACCACAATGCCAATAATCAGCCGAGTGCTTCGACCAACCCCAACAAATAGCTTTATCCTTGAAGAAGGAACGATCAACGCTATCTCTCAACTCCCTCTTCATGTTGTGAATTATTGTTGACTAAGACTCGATGCTCACGTTCAACGAGCCTTTCTTACAACACCAAATCTTCCGGTTCTCCGCGTGTCTACACTGACATGCATGCCGCAAGCATTGCTCCGGAAAATCCGACGAATTGTATATAAGCGAAAAGGCTTCAAGCTACCCTTTTCTAGCTGTAAACATCCAGATAACCTTTCACTTTTTTTTAACCTTTTCTCAGACACAAAACCATGCTATATAACAGCTGAATGTCTATTCAATTGGATGAATGTGTTTGAAAATTATTATTCTTGTATCATATTCGTTTAATACACTTCTATACGATTGATTTTCATCTCGATAATTTTTTTCAACCCTAATTCTTTCTTCAAACCTAAGATAATAATTTTTTTTTGTTATATCTGTATAATAATTGTGTTTAAAGGTTGAAAGAAATTTTTTTAATTCGGCAGCTTGGAAAAAAAATTCAAAAAAGATTAAAAATAGTTTTGGAGTAAAGAACTGACATTTAAACTACTCTGAAAAATATTTTGATAGGAAATACTCTAAATATGACTCATTCACATTAAGATAAGTTAAATTAATAGTAGTGACACATTCTTTAAAATGAAGTAGTTGAAAACAATGACATATTACAACAATGATGATAATATAGCCTCTACAACTTCAATTAATATCGAAAATCGATTATCGAAAATAAATAAGAGTTTATTGAGCAACAAGATATTTTTGGAGGTTCAAAAATTCAGCAGGAGTCTAAATATGCTCATTAATAAAGTCTGTTCATTTTTGTGAGGCTATTAATGGCAAATACAATAAATGATTATTTTATAGAACAATTTGGTGTTGTTAAAAGGAAACGATAGGCATCTCTGCCAACAAGATCGATCAATTGCGAATTAATTGTATCCGTTATCTCTGTATGAAATCTCAGACGAGTGGAATAGCCAACAGTCAACTACGCACTTATATTAACCGGTATATGAAACCGCGAAAAAATACAACACTAGAACCAGAGTCAACATTTATTTTATTTCGTATAGGTATGAGATTTAACGAGAGAAAGGCGATCACATTTCATCTCATTAGTTGGCCCAACGTGCGTGAGGTTACATCAATTTATAACCAACTCGAGATGCAAGTCCAATAGTCCTCAACTACTTACACCGCCCGCCAGTTAATTAACGCCGTTCTTTTTTCATCGCGTGAAAGTTTATTCCAAGAATACTCTCGTCACACGCAGAATAAACACCTTGATCGATTATTTCGTACCTTTTATTTTTATAATCTCATTCAGATCGAAACTTACAGTGAGATTATTGTTTGGACTAAAAATAACCAGGCTTCTTAATCATTACCTCTAAGTGTCCATGTGATTTGATCTTAAAAAATTGATACTAACAATAATACACTTTCGAATACATCAAAAATAATTTGGCAATAGTTTTTTTTCATTTTAGCAATCAATTGTGGTATGATTAACAAATTGATTTGCAATTAAAATTTTTTATCGATAATTAGTATTAAATCGATCTTGAAAAAAATTTTTAGTCTTACTTTAAATTGTCAGTTTTGACAGGTTCATTATATTATAAAGAATTAATTCAGTCAGCGACAAAAAAAACTGCAATTATCGCTCCAACAGAATTTTAAGTGCACTGAACTGAATAATAAGTAATGATTTTTTTGTAAATTTTGGCTTTTAGGATATCATAAATTTTTCAAGTATCCCATTATGCATTAGAATCTTATTTAATGCCCGATTCTCTTGCTATATGTAGCAACGTGAACTCTAATTATCTAGCGGTAATGTGAAGTACGTTGCCTAGCATCATGTAGTGGATTTTTTAATTGACTAGTAATTTAAACTACGTCAGATAGTAACGATAATGACAACATACAAATTACTATTACGATCGTAAAATTAACTATACTAACTTAGTTAATATTACCATGTTACAACAGTAGACTTAATTACATGAAAAAAAATCAGCTAATACTCATGAAAAAAATTCTTTTGTTCTTATTATTTGTCCATTTAAAAAACATATTTTACTATTAACATAAATTTTTTATTGCCTTTTAAGTAAACATTTAAATATTTTATCCATTTTAAAAATCTTAACAACATATTTCTTGTAATTATTTAACATATCAATATTTTTTGCCATCAAGTAAATGTAAAATTCATTTCTTCAGAATCATTTTTCACCAAAGAATGTAATGAATGAAAGCGAATAAAAATTTAAACCAAAAAAAAAAAACTAATCATAAACAAGCAAAATTCTTCTTATTATCTTTAAGAGCTTAATAACGAAAAAAAAGTCAAAGTTTTAACACATAAAATCTGTTATCTTTGAAACATTATGATAATCTTGATTGCAGCATACCAAATCTTTAAACAAAATTCCGTAATAGATTAAAGTGCGCGTATTGTGAGTTCTCGGAACGTGGGCTCTCTCCAACAAATGTATGTCTTATGATCATGATCAGAAGTGTCTGTACCGTGTGCAAGCACAAGTGCAGCCTCAGGTATGAACAGCTTGGGTATAATACAGAGATTAAATTAACTGGAAAAGGAGGTAATCGCACGCGCGTACTCGTATAGCCGCAGATCCTCGTGGGTGATATGTATACTTGAACGCGCTTACATATATATATGTAGGACCAATTGTCTCGTTTCATGTTTAGCCGCAAGCAAAGGTTTCAATAGTTTATTTTACTACAAATTTAATCTTACGTGGGAATTGGGTTTGTAAATTGCAAAAATGTCATATAATGCTGCCAAAATAGCTCTCCAGATGTTTCTTTCAATGATATTATTGTCTTTATAAAAATACAGAGAAGATAAAAAAAATCATTCCAGAACTGACACGAAAATTATCTTATTTTATAAATTTAATAAGAAGGATATCATGAATGTAAAAAAAATTATTTTTTTTAGTATAAAAGAAAACTCGTAAATTATAAAAATAATGTTAACATTGTCAAAATGAGTATTTTAGTCAATGACTTTTATTCCCTAAGATATTATTATCCTAAAAATGACACGAGGTCCGGTACAAGCTGTGTATTATCATGATGGCCAAAAATTAGCATAATTTCAAAAGAATCTTCCGTTGTTGGTTGGTTCAGCAAACAAAAATGCACGAAAATTGTTTTCTCGTGCTTGTTCGCTGATGCTTGTGCCACTTTGACTGCCGAAAAGAAAAAAATTACCGTGGGCCAGTTTCCGTAAGGAGAATAATGATCTCGGTGGTACGAATGCATTAATTGCGAATGTCCCTATATCCTTATGCTTTCGCAACGATCCTCCAATAAAAGTCTATACGGCTTCCAAGTCAGGAATTGACTGAAGCAATCACGATAAAAAGGATTTGTTAATAAATAGTTCTCTCACAGTTATTTTACATTTGGAATAATCTCCATCAAATTCACACGATTGCAAATTTTTTAGCATGACAGCTATGAGAATAAAATTCATTCTTAATAACAAAGTTAACTTATTTATAATAAAAATAATTTTTTAAGCTCGTTAAAAGAAAGAATAATTCTCCAGCTAGAATAAATAATTTTAAAAATTATGGCTATTTGCCTTTGGGTAGAAAAAAAGACCGGTTACTTAGCATTTTGACACTACGTTAACCTTTTCGACTTGCCCAAAATACGCGTGCTCGATTAGTAACTTTTGATATTCCATTTAAAAGATGAGGACTATGAAATTAGAATAAAAAAATAGTCGAGTACGCAGATGGAGTCCGATTGTACGTGCTTGATCGTTTAACGATATTCATGAAAGAATGTGAGATGAATTATTAATTAATTCTAGCTACAAATGGATTAAATCTCAACATTCAGATACACGTGGAGTTAAACTATAGCGGAAGCAGAGAGTGAAAATGGATAATTATCATAATATTAGTGATTTCGGAGCTCATGCAAGAGCTTAGGCTACAACAAAAAATGTGGTAGATAGAAAGAGAAGGAAAATAAAACTGACGATTCATCCTTATCTTAATAGAATCACGCTTACAAACTATATTGGCTCTGATTCTTTAAAGTCATCGGCGTGACGCTACGAAATTCGATCAAGAGAAGTCGGCAACGTTGCTTGTCGTTTCAATATTGCGTCGATCAATAGTACTATTAATAAATATCGAAAAGAAATATAACTTTATGTTGATTAAAATAATTTTTTATATTTTCTAGACAAACATGCATACATCGTTTCCGTACGATGGAAGTCGTGGAAGTGCGGGTGCAGGTGCTACAGGTGGAAGGGGCGTTGAATATGGTGCTGTTCGTCGTCCTGATGCTCTCCTACCACCACCAGGACTCGATCAAACAGATCTTGTCTTACACTCAAGTCTTGTTGACGACCCCCAGGTGAGCGACGATGTACGTAATCGCAAGGCGCATTTTTTATATTATATTTCATTAAAAATATTTCACGAGTAAATCCGATAATTGACGATTGTAATTGTTTAATAAATCACTGAATTATTTTAACAACTTTTACTGACAATTTATCCAACAAAAAATGTGATAATATTCAACTGATTGCTCGTACTGATAAAAGGAATATATATTGATTACATAACAACGTTGCGAAGAATTTAATTTCGTATCTACTTCCATGTCGAGCCCTCCCTTTGATAATTCCAAAGTATTCCGACCAGCTACAACTTAAAAAACAACTTTTGCTCCTCATCGTTGTTATGCATTAAATATAAATATCTAAATACTGCTGCCGGAAGTTATTTTAATATTTTTTGAAAATATTTTGACATAGTGAAATAATGAAAATAATATATTGAATGAATTAAACTTATTTTATAAATAATCGTTTTTTTTTCTTTTAATAATCGCCATGTCACTTTAATTAATGTAGGTACTGAAAAAATATTTATTTAATTAATTTATAGTATTCATTTAAACTTGAATAAAACAGAGACAAAAAAGGTTTGCCATGAAGCTTAGAATTTGATTAAATTATTATTATCAATTAATCAATTGTAGCTCTTGTTTGAAGTATTATTTTAGCAATGTGTTCTAAAAAACTGGTTTTTTAAATATTAATTAATACTTGGAGTGTTTTTTAAATTTTAAAATTGAAATATTTTAAATTAATAAGATCCAAGATCTGGTTTTATTTTCATACTGATAAATTGTTCAAGGAATAAATTTGTAATGATCTATAAATATAATTTTTGTAGAAAAAAATATTTTCTATTTATGCCTCATGTATTTATTAATTTTTTAATTATTTCAGAATACTAATGTCGACGATGGAGGGTTCATGAACGACTTGCCTCTCTTAAAAAGTATGTATATCTAATATTAAATGTTTAAATCAAAAAGGCGTGTGTTAAGTATCATTTACAGCTACGTGACTAGAATACATAATTGGTAATTGATTTTCCTCGCTTTGATTTCGTTAGTTCAATCACGGAGTATTGATAGGAGTAGCTAGATCGAATTCGAAATATAGAGTAAAACGTGAAGGATTTTACGCAATACGAATGCAAGTCAATTATATATCTAGGTAACTAATTGAATAACTTCGACCAGATATCTATTTATTTCATATAGATCATTTTAAAATAATCATTCCAAGTAAAGTGTAATGATTATTTAATTATTGCAAATAAATTTATGTGTTAAATAGTTAAATTATTACCAATTGTCACTATTCGAAATTTTTGTTTATTGCCAAGAAAATACTTTTTGATGTATTTGTGAATTAGTTGATGGAAGATACCATCTGAAAAATGGTTAATAATATTAACATTAATTATCGAATTTGATGCTATGAAAGAAATCAGGAAAGAAACTATGAAACATAATGAGTGCAGATAGCAAGGAGAAAAGAAGTGTTCTTAAACAGCGAGAATACCTAGCAAATAAAAAATTTTATTTGTTTAATTATCATGGTTATGTTGATTATTTTTTTCCCCTTAGCAGTGTCCGTTTTGACAGTAGTATAACAAAAATACAAGGTATTGAGTTACAATAGAAGTCAGGAAACGAGGGAAACTCAATTTGGAAGGGACTGCGGTTGATCACAGTCGAACTACATATAGAGGTGCTAGATTACCCGCTTATTAAGCCACAACGGTTATTTTCTTCCCCTATTCATATTTTTTGCATTTCATTCTGAAGTACTAATAAGTTCTCACTTACGAAAATACTTGTCACATGTTTCGAAAATTTTAGTTCTGGTTTCATTATCATAAAAAAATTAGCTGACCATCAGCAATGAATTTAATATTGATAAAATTTATTGAGATCGTCTAAATAAAATTTTTTAGTTTCAGTAATGATTCAGTTAAAGGTTATATTAAAAAAGAATAGTGCTTTCATCAGAGTTATTAATTTGTTACAAAAATATATCAATCATTTCTAATAGATAATTAAAAAGCATTTTGTGACTGCAACATAACACGCCCATTAATTTAGGAGTTAATAAAGTCTTGATCTTTTGACTAAGAGAGAACAAGAAAAAGACACAAGAAATCTCAGCGAGAGTTATATGTGATTGATATTTTTTTTCATGAGAGGAATGGGAGCTGAAGCGTATATTCCTTTGTATAATGGGGCAGCTTGACAATGGTAATAAAGGACAAATGCTATAGAATTACCAATATAGTCAGTAGAGAGGTTAGAGTCCTCGCAAATACTACGTATGAGGTGTGAATACAAAAAAAAGTGAACGTGCCCGCGGGCATATCGAATTTCGTTATTGTCATTATAATTTTCTTGGCGGGTAGTAGTTTTTGGGGTGGTCCTTCACCACAGGGGTATTACCTACAGATGGCTGTTTGTTCAAATGTCATTGAGGGTTATTATATGCCTTGTTACACGCTACATACTACACTCGATAGCTTATTTTGATGTGGACATGTCGTCAATTTTTTCTTTACCCACATTATCATATACTCTAGACATATCATTTATTTATTTAGCTCATTCAAACGAAATGCGAACAATATAATTTTCTATCCATTACTAAAATGAAATCGAGATAGTGATGAATCCTGACCAGCTTATTTCAATTCTAAACCAAGTATTTTTTTAATACAATCATTATTTTGTCATCACAAACATTTCTTTAAAAAAAAAAAAATGTCACTGAATGAACGGATAAAAAATTTTTTTACTTAAAGTATACTCAAGATTTGAGTCAGAAGAAAAGACATTTATTATTGAGTATTTCTTGCCAACACATAATATAATTGCGAGAGAGGTCTAGCAAAGAACTGATGATTAATAGAGATATTATGTGAAGTGATTATTATTCTGAGGAATAGATTAATTAATAATATACGCAACTCGAGCGCAAGTACACTGGATGCTTTGACTCATTCGAGCAGGTAACATTCGAAAGATGGACGTAGATCGTTAAAGATCACTCACCCATCAAGGCCTTGGATTAGTTGCTTACATAAACATCTCTCGTTTTATTAGATATATTTACTTAGTGTACAAGTAATATCTCTAAATGCGGCAAATATCTCCTTTTTATCTTCAATCATATAACGTCAATATAAATTGATACAACCGTCCGATTACTTTCACGTTTATAATGTTGATAATTGATCATTAGATTGTGCTTAAGTAGATGTGAAAATGAATGACAACACGACATGAGGTTGATAATTTATTTAAAATTATCTAAGTTTCACAAATCAATCTTTAATTATTTCAAGCGATTTGATTTTCACTCGATAAATTTGAAAAGTATTTACGCAAAAGTTTGCCATTTCCGTCAAAATTTTTTGGAAGTCAACACACGCACAATTTCCTCAATAATCGGCACTGCCGGAAGCCAAACCAATCGTCATGAGTTCACTTATGTCGTGATCTCGATTGGTTGGTCTTGGAGTCTAGGGTGTGACTTTTCGACCCTTTCTAAAGGGTCCAAAATACGCCCTTAGGCCAGTTAACGGCCAGCCACTTCTAGAACAATTAATTAATAATCTCTTTCGTTTCCAATCATTGGAGTATACAATCATATGAATTCTTCTCTGAACCCTACAAATATGAATTATTCCCTGACAATTCAATCATCTTGTTTGAATCATCCGTTTATTTAATAAATTAAAAAGTTATCGAATATTATAGTTGATAAATTTTCAAATTATCATTTCAAAAAAATGATTCATCTTTGATAGCATGATTGGCCAAAAATTGGCATGAAAAAATCCTAGACTGAAAAATATTACAAAGTGTATTTAAAAGGACATTTGAATTCAATAAATATACGACCTCCTATATAAATTATTCCTCTATAATTTTTAACATTTCGCAAGATGGTATGTTATGCTTGTACAGAGACAACGTGACAAAAGATCGAGACAGAATTTCATGTCGTTTTACTCGAGATAGATGCCTCAATGATAGTGTGTCGGTCACGCAGCAGGGACACAAAAAAGAAGAGATAAACGAGAAAGAATGAAAAATTGTCAGATCTATGTACATAGTCGCAGATTCGAGAAAGTTAAACCACTTAAATTTTTGCAATCATTTGTTATCGAGCATCAAAAAAAAACACTTGGGTTTTTCTAGAAAAATTATTCAACAGTTCTTTATTATGTTAATTGATGAAACTAAAATGAAATAAACAAATGACGTCAATAAATCTATAATCATAAATTATTCTCAGTGATTATATTCTAATAGTTATGATGAGACCTTTATTTGAGGATGTTGCCTAATAATATTAAAAATCTTAAAAGAAAAAAAAGAATTTTTTTAAGTGGTCGATAGAATTAATTCAAAAATTGATTAATATCACACGATGGGCAAGAAATGCTATCATTCACAGTTTATTATCCTGTTCTTCTTCATAGCTGGCTCGTTCACTTCCGTTGTGAGAAAATTACAGAGAATTACTAATAGCTATCTAAGCAGAGGCTCGCTACTGCGCTTATATACCCGTTTAAGTTGATTCTTCATTCGATTTTTGATCGCTACCACGAATCATCATTTATTAAGTGTATAAAATTGATAAGACACTTCATTTTATATAGCTTCTAGTGTGTAAATATATGATTTCCGGTTTTTAACGAGCAAATAAAATATTTTGCAAATTACAGAAAATAAATAATAACTTGCAAAAATTTTTTTTTTCAAGTATTTTGAAAATTTTTACAGACAAATTGATGTAAATTCAATAAATAACTTGACCTATTTTTATTCAATTAATTTTTTTTACACCACGAATAGAGGATTAGCAAAATGATAACTCAGCATGAGTGAAGAGCGTTGATTTATATAATTGAAAAATGAACGAAGGGTGGAGAAAATGCGCGCGTGCTCGCCGGAGGTATTGGCCTCAAGGCGATAAAATACTAGTTAGATACTGAATAAAATGTTATTGCGAAAAGATACGATATAAAATATTTATATCATAGCTGAATAATCGCGAACATTTAACAATCGGTCATCATCATGACCTCAGACTATCATATCTCACGTAAACGATCACTCATCAACACACGATTCATGCCAATACTTAATATTAATTTTTCTCCAACTTGTGGCCTATAATTTAATGTTCTCACGATTGGAAGATACTCGATATTTGCTGCAAATGATTCTATTGTAATAAAGAACTCTGAAATAATTAAATGGAATATTAAATAAAATTTATTTTATAGATAAATATTATATATTATTGATTTATAGAGTTTCTTATAACTAGCAATTTAGCTATTTATTACATTAATAATGTTAATTGTTGTGCAACTCATCGTGTACTTTAATGTGTGCGAAAAATTAATTGATGATTTCTCTATGAAAACTATAATTTTAATTTAATTTTAAATAAGCTAATAAATAAATATCTGTAATAATAAAAATGTTTCAGTAAAATATCCTAAATAAACTAAAAAATTATTGAAGATTCTGAAAACTAATAAATAAAAGGCAAAGCAGCTGATTTGGCAATAGCTTCTAGAAGCCTCCGGCTCTCGAACATTTTCCCGGAGTAGATATCAAGTTTTAAGACTTGCAAGCATATTCTACGATGCTATAATAATATGCCTTGACCATAGCATCCCTCTAGTTTCCAATATTAAGCATTCCTCAACAACGATGTAATAACCTTCTGGAAATAGCAATAAGTGTCTGTATGTGTGCGATTAAAAAATATATTTTATTGCCATTACTCATAGTGGTTGAATATAAAACGTTTGATGGTTATTTTATTGCATTATTAGAAGCGTAAATAATTGTACGTGCTGTGATTAATTAAATGATAATTTGTTTCAGATATAAAACAATCAGATAGAGGAGAGAAAGGGATGCTTTCTGGTAATACGCAACCCCTAGATGTGTTCTGCTCAGTACCAGGAAGATTATCATTATTAAGCAGCACTAGCAAGTATAAGGTCACGGTCGCAGAGGTTCAAAGACGACTCTCACCGCCTGAATGTCTCAACGCGAGTCTTCTAGGTGGTGTCTTACGAAGGTGAGGCTCAATAGTTAAATGTCTTGATGTAAATCTTACTGATAGCTAGATGAAAAATAACTGAACAATTCCCACCGTGTGCAAGCTTGAGACGTGATGACCCTAGGTATGCTAATGATGCCCACATTTGCCTTATGATGCTTGTTCATTCATGCTTATGATATTTACAATGTACTTTCTTCATTCATACTTATAACAGTATACTTTATCTACGATTAATTTCAAATTTCACGTCAATCCTACTTGTGATATCTCCAAAGTGATCATCTCTTGTAGCTTTCACATCAGCTTACGATATGAATTCAAAGATGTCAAGTAACACTTCATAAAGTTGTTTTTTGGAGAATAATTGTCTCCCGTTAATCAAGCAATTAATTGCCTATTAAATGATTCGGATTACAATTTTAGTAGTTTGATAAAAAAATAATGATTATCATCAGAGAAATAAATTTATTTCTAATTATTATTCATCATGGACTGATTTTTTTGTCTCAAGTATTTAGATATCTAAAACGTAATAATTCTAGACTGCTTTCACGCACAATTGTTACCTACACGAGGTGATTGTATCCGGTAAATTATACATGTATAAATTTCTAATATAGAGACGCAATTTGTCTTTTTCGTCTGTCAGACTGACAGATATTTATGTTGAAATATGTATCCCATGGATCCTCAACGAAATGATTACGATATTAGCACACATGTGTAGCGATTTAAAGCGAACGTGCTCAACAGTATAAGCTTCATTATAATCTCGACCCAAATTATAATAACCATAATAAGTGAACACTAATAGTAATAATAATAATAATAATGAAATCAGCGCTTAAAAACAAATGAATTTAAAAAATAACAATAAAATACAAAAACCAAAAAAAAATACCCGCGTATGACTGAGCTTACCATAACGGTTCATCTAACGGTAAATTAATATACCGGGTTTTTGTAACGCCTTATCCACCCAACGTGGTCCAACCACGGATAGCCCCCTGATTTATAACTTTCCCAGGAACTCTGGTCTTTATCTGATCCAGTGTTTCGCTCGGGCAGAAAACTATCTATTACGCAATGCTTTATCATGCCAAGGCTTGGATAAATTAGGTACTGGTGCGAGTAATGCCACATCGACATAAATTTAAAGTCACCATAACGCCATAGTTTGCCGATGGTTTAGCCCTTAACCACTTGATCATGCAAATGAGAGTAATCGTCTTGCTGCAGTACAGCAGCACTGTCAATCCTCAATTATACCTCAAGAAAAACGAAACGTCTCTCTGTAGATATACTTGTATGTTAAAAATATACCCGATTAAAATAGATGAAAAATTATGATTAATTATAGAAATTGCACACCATGTCAATGTTGTAAAAATAATTGATATCATATAGTATTTTTAGCATTTAATGCAAGTAAGCGGTGTAATTTAAATTCATCTACATCACAATAAAAAATCTTTTTCCATCGATAATTTTTTTTTTTATTCTGTCTAATTAACATACTAATAATATTTTATAAAATTTAATATTTAATAAAATTTGAAGAGACAAATTTTTCATTGTGATTTTTCCCCATTTTTATTGCTATATCCGCCATTACAAAGTGTCAAAAAAGTACGTATCAATAAGTATACTTGTATTCATTATATCGGAAAAAATAAATAATCGAAAGGATATGACATAAAATAAGAAGAAGCAATGTCGGCTAACGATCCTTTAAGACTTCGAACGAGATACTGAGCAATCAGGAAAGATCGCGTATCGAGAAAAGAGGGTCCTCGTCATTCCAGTAGTAGGTATAGAGACGAGGAATGATCAAGCGACGGCTAAAAGAGGATATCGTCGCCAAGACAAGCCTCAGTAATGAGTCAAGCATGCTTCACATCACGTCCTGTAATACTTTTCCTTCCATCTAGTGAGTAAAATTTTCCTAATCATTTCAAAGCTATAATGGCATTTGAAAGATTGTAATAAATTTATGAGTTTAGATTAATTATGCAAGTAATAGGTTGATTGAGTGTTGAAAAATAAAAGTGCAAAAGTAAAAACAGTGTCTTATCGTGCAATACCCAAAATTTTCTAATAAATTTAATTAGACATTCTTTTAAAAATAATTTATCTTAATACTTCAGGATCTATTATTCAATTTTTAACAACAATGATTTTTTTCAGAGCCAAGTCGAAAAATGGTGGCCGATTACTGAGAGAAAAATTAGAAAAAATAGGATTAAATCTTCCGGCTGGAAGAAGGAAGGCTGCGAATGTAACTCTTCTAACGTCATTAGTAGAAGGTAAATATTCAAAAAAATATTACTCTAAATAGTGTGAGTTTGAAAAAAAAATTTCCAAGTTAATCAAATGGATTGAGTGACGTGAAGGCTTCTGTATAAGTTGGATCACTGATCGATTGGTAAACAAAATCTATGAGATAAAGAATACATATATCAATCGAGTAATGTTTATATCACTAGTGGATTGAGATGTCAAGTTGATACGCACGACTGCGTGTCTTTTTTTATTCATCTTACTACTGGAACGTATGACTGTTAATCAAAAACATTACTCTCCGCCTATAGTCTACACATATAATCGCACTAAACGTACCTACTCAAGTATTATATATGTATGATTGGATGCACAGAGATGAAGAGAAAAGTTAACATGCAGCGAGAGCTCTTGATTCGAACCCTAACTGCCACTTTGTAGTACAATAATTTAGAACGTTGTCAAACTTTATGTATTCTTCATGGCATTGATTATAATTTATGAGCATTACTCTTATACCCATATAATTTTTTCTGATAATTGATGTGTGATAAACATTGATTTTTTAAAACATAACTTAGCTGTAAAATTTTTAATACTTCATCCTGAACGGTTGGTAATTTAAAAAGAGTGCAATTTTCATATTTGTTTAATTAAAAAAAAATTCCTTGCAGTCAATATTAATTTTTGTTTGGAATCAATTTAGTTATTTTTAATTAGTCATTTATAATTAATTATTCACTGACATTTGCGATATGTTAGACATGTTATTTTAAGTTGAAGTCATTATTATAATAACCTCATATACATAATCCCATGTAATCATTAAATTTCAACATTAATTAAAATTATTTAAATTAATATGAAACATTAAAAACGGAAAATATTAATTACTATCTTCAAATAACGTCAGCAATACTTTTGATGTCAAATTTAAAAATACTTTTATAACTTAATGGATCCAATGATGCTCTAGATCTTGATAAAAATTTTAAAAATCGAGAAATAAATTTTATCGAATAAAAACGGATTAACATAATTAACCCTGATAATTTTTATCCAATTTAAATCAATATGTTGTCTCAAAAAATAAAAAAAAAAAATAAAAAAATAATAAAAACCTTGACAAATATCTGCATAAAGTATTAAATAAAATAATGAATGTAATATTCTCGCCCACACAGTGTATATTAATTCTCTTTAACTGATTATCCTTACGTTTATTCATGCCGACGATTTTAGTGAACAATAAAAATGCCCGCGTTTTTTTTTCTCGTCAAAGCGACTACTCAAAGACTCGCAATTATTTCTAGAGCTACATAGTACAATGACATAAAGCAGGAAGAGGTGTAAAAGGTGCTGAAGAAAACGCTGAAAAGAAAAAAATAGAAAGAGTACGATGCTCACGAGGACGATGCCCACGCACGTACATACGTGACGCGCTCCTTGTGGTCCTCTTCAACGTCGGTAAGATAAAGAGAGAGAGAATCCCTAACGGCGCTGCGAAAGTGTGGGAACCGCCTCTTCCATTACATACCTCCTCTCTTCCTCACTTCATCGACTCTCTTGGATACAGTGCAAAGGTCCTGAATCGACACAGACGTTCAAGTCTCAAGAGTCAAGAGAAAATATACATCTTCAAGGTAGATGACCAATCGACTTGAGATGAAGTCGTACAGTGATGAACATAAGAGTCTTGAATCATTTAAGATTCACCATCTTTGGTACCAGAATAAATTAATTGATAAGAAAAATTATTAGGTCAACATTGATGCATTGATTATATCCAAAAAGGATATCTAAATAATCAATAAAACTATCAATGGAAAATAATTAATAACATTCAAGTTGAAAAATAAAATTTAAAAATTAATCAAATGAAATTACATTTGTATGAGATAAATATATTAAATAAACCTAAATGATTTAATTCTTAGAAATTTATGCAACTCTACATGAATTGTTTCAAGAAAAAAAATATAATTAATAACAATAACTATAACTTTTATTCAACATACAATGTTTATAAATGGCATAAAGTAATGAAATGAATCATTCAAATCGTGCTGAGGAATTTTTGCTGATGCATTAGATACAACAACATACTAATAAAACTGGAATGATTTATTAACTAAAATTGATTTTCAAGACATTCAGACATAAAATAGACAATGATTTCAAAGTTGAATTTCAATGGGTATTGTTTAAAATAAGCAAGTGGTTAAATAAAATGCTGTCTAATTCTAAAAAGATAATTTTTGCAAAGGATTTGAATAGATTAAGTGTGCTACATATAAAGACTTGGAGTACTCGCGAGGTCAGTCACCGTAACGATGAGTCTTAAGAAATATGAATCGTGGGCGGAAATAAAGTAGAAGCTGGTTAAATCATTTTCTATGACACGTGAATACAATAATTTATATATGCTGACAAATCAGCAAGTGTGGCTGTGTCAATAAACAATATTTCCAGTTAGAGAAATCGTTAGTCTTAGAAAAGATACAATACCTAATGTAAGTAGAGAGATTCAAACACCCTTGGTGTGACAGTCAACAATTCGTATATCTCTAAGTATCTCAAAGATCACCAATCACGTTCACTCAACCACAAATGCTTCTCCATTATCTCAACTATAATGGTGAAACTCCCGCACCAAGATACTTCAAGTATTGTTTTGAACATTTTCTATACGTCATTGAGTAAATGATTAAATGGAAAAGAGCTAGAAGACATAATGTTAATGTATATTTTCGAGATTTTTTCTCAATAAGGGTACTCGACAAAAACAAATACAAAAGAATATCTCTTGAATTGGTAAATCGAAAGTAAGTTGAAACATGAGACGATGAATCTTTGCACGAAACGTGATATAAATTCGCTTCCCTTTGGCCACGATTCTCCTCTCTTGACAATGAATCCTCATCATGAGTGTCACCAAGCCTCGAAATAAGACCTCGTTACCGGATTCTCGAGATTGTCGCCAACAACTCAACAGCGTATAAATCTTACACTTTCACATTCGTTAACTTTGTAATCAAGTGTAACAAAAAAAAAGCCGTATTCTGCCATTTTTAAATGAATTATAACCGAAAAAATATCTGCCTTTAAAAGAAACTGGTGAATTCATTTTGAAGAAAATCAACACTTTTTACTCTCAAACATTTAATATCATTTTTTTAGATGACAGCTTGGTTGATAAAAAATTTGAATTATTTGCTTCATTAAAAAATAAAAAATGTTGGAAAAATGGATAAACTCTGTAAATTAATGAAATAAAAATTTTTTTGATTGAATTATATCTCTCAAGATAAAAACAGGACAATCCTTGTGCAATCTAGTACCCTCATTATCACGTCAAGTCTCAGTGACAAGACACGTGTCACTCTGTACGTACACCATCCTACAAAAACTAGTAAAATCAATGGAAATCGTTTGACCATTTTTACATCAACGTTTCTATAAAAAAAAAAAAAATTAATATCCTAAGAATGCCTTTTTTTCTATTGACAATTTTATACAGATTTATAATAAGAATTATCGTAATGGGGTGGCTTGAAAAAAAAGAGATGTAAGAGCTTATGAGGAAGAAGGTGAATGAACGAAAAAGAGAAAAGATCGTGGAGCTAAGAGAACTGAAAGTAGCACGTTTTTTGTTGCAGGTGAGGCTATTCACCTTGCCAGGGACTTTGGATATGTTTGTGAAACAGAGTTCCCGGCAAAGCAAGTTGCCGAATATCTCAGCCGCCAACATTGTGATCCTCAGGATTCTTATAGGAGGAAAGAACTACTCCATGCCACCAAGTATGTATTCATTTTTTATCATCTATCACTTCCTGACTAATAAATAATCCAATAATTTATCTGACATCAATCAAGTCAAGTTAAACTAATGAAATTACCTTATCTTTTTCTAGACAAATCACCAAAGAGCTGATGGACCTGTTAAATCAAGATAGGTCACCTTTATGCAATACAAGACCAGCGTATATTTTAGACCCAAGTATACAAAAACATCTGACTAATTTTTCGTTGATATCTCATGGCTTTGGAAGTCCTGCAATTGTTGCTGCATTAACAGCAATTCAGGTAATATTATCAACTATTTATTTACAATCAAAATCATTCTTAAGTAATGTTTATTACTTGTTGAACACTTTCCAGTATTGAAACTTGCAATTTATCTTTTAAAACAAATTTTTAAAATTCTAAATGTTACTTGAATGGCACATGATTACAGAAATTCCTGGCAGAATCGTTAAACCACCTGGAAAAAGTGTATCCAGGTAATGGAAGTGGAGTAACGAGCAGTCAACAATCAAATCTGGACGCGAATAAAAACAAGGATGGATCTTTAATGAATGATATGAAGAAGTGACGCCCGAAAGACCCGCCGACCTCAAATGTGGTCACTTCAATCGACCATTCATGGCCCTACAATTAACTAATTTTCACTTAGTCTGTGACTAGTTAACGAATGTGGACCACTAATTGTTGTAAATTAAACTCGGAGGTTGGCTGGTCAGTTGAGATAACAAATCATTCAACTGCGAGTTCATTATATCATCATAATAAATAATAATTGTTTTTTAAATAATATATATTTAAAAATAAATTCTAATGTCAATAAGATTATTTGTATTAATCAAAAGTTGACAAAAGGAACAAAGCAATTTCATTGTAATGATGATCAAATCATTCCATCATATGCATTTATTGTATATTTTTTAATTCTAAAATATGTATATATTAATTTACGATTATCTCTTTTGCCACTACCGAATAAACCTAATTTAAAATAGAGAAATGATGAATATTTATGCAGAATCGATTAATCAAATGATTTGAAACCATTTACGATTAATAAATTATGATTCGTTTATATTTGCAATATTTATGTTCACTGATCTGGAAAATCACTGTCATTAGAAACAGAAAGGTGGTGGGATTTCTGTCTTATATCATTTGTATCTCTATTTTTGTATTCTTTGTGTTATTTCTATTGTTTTCATGATTTAAACGCACAAATTGATATTTTCGTCAAAAACAAAAATAAAAAAATCGAAATATTATTTCACATTCATTGTGCCAACGCTGAACCATTGCCATTAAATATGTGCCAATTATAATTGTTTGAAGTGAATAAGGAAAACAAAATAAAAACTATGAAAATAAAATGACAGCCAAAGTTGCAATAGATTATGAAAAATTTTGTAAAAAAAAGGAGAAATTCCAAAATTAATGATAAATAATTGAGGAAAAACAACTTAATGTAATAAAAACCTGATTATGTTAATTGATTGTCGGTTTGCATTGAGAATAAAAGTATTCTTAATAAGAAAATTATGATTTATAAAAAGAAAAAATTTTTATTTAGATTCATATCAAATAAGAAATCGATTATATTAAGAATTTAAAATATAGTTTTTGAAATTGATGTAAATAGATTTTTAATTTAAAAAAAAATCCAAAAGATGAAATTTCATTTTAAATTAAAATTCTTCAATAACTACTAATAATTATTTTCTTATCAAGAATAATTTTTTTCTCTAGTTGCATTGATGTAAAGTCGAACGGCATATTAAAATGGTAACAAGTACAAGATCGGGTAAACCTGAGACATATCTAACTTTGTAACTAAACCTTAGATAAATATATATAAATATATAAATAAATATATATTATAAGAGTAAGATTAATTATAAATGAATATAAATATATATATAAATAAATATATATAATAAACTTGAGAGCATTTCATGTTCCGAGAATATGTACAGAACATTTGATCTTTCTTGTGATATAATCATGCATTGTCAAGTAATCAATTGATAAATGCTACATTCCACGTTTTTATTAGAAACGTTATTAGCAATTATATGCATTCAATTAGCGCTATTGGAGCGCACACTCCGTGTTTTTGCTTGAAGGATTAAAAAAAAAATAATTAATACAAATTCATGCTCGTCAGGACGTTATAATTATTTTGTTACGAAAACAATCATCAATCGTTCTTTGAAAATTTTAAAATAAAAAACTGGTTGGAGTGTTAAATTGGTAATATTCATACTCGAGCCAAAATAGAAAAATGAGTAGTGGTAATTAGAAAATATTTGAGCTCCACTTTGACTCGTGACTTAAATAGAGGACTTAGTAGATTAATTAATTAAGAATCGATAAATTAATACTTATTTATCTCTAGAAAAAACGTAGAAAATGATCTTTTCTACTAAGAATTTCTGTGCCAACTGTGAAAATAAACGAAAAATGTTGTAGACAATTTTGTTTCAAGTTAAAACATCAATCTAATCTTGTAAGATACTCAAATATATCTTTATGAAATTATATTGAATTTTAGTAGCACATTATATTCCGATATTAATACGGTTCATTTTTGTATATTGGTGTGTGATAAATAAATAAGAATATTGTTTATAAGTAAGCTAATTAATGAGTATTGATTTATCAAACTAATGATCCAAATCCTCTTCGGTATAGAAAAATTAGTAAATATTAATTCACCTTGATGTCGTCTTTTAAATAACTCGTCATGAATTTCTCAATATACTCACGTTTTCATTCTAAAAATAATAAAAAAATGTATTAATATCAAATTAGAATGTAAAACTTATAAATTTAATTATTTTTGTACACATAATGAAGTATAATATCGTTTGGGTCTAACCTAGTCTGAGAATTCCTGCACTTTACGTCTTCAACTTAAAACTTATTGTTATTACACTAAAAATACACTCACTAAACTTTAAAATATCTTGTCAATTAAGATCACAATACACAATAAATGCAGTAATATCACGTACACCCGGCATAATATAATTTTATATTTCAAATCAAGAAAAACACAATAGTTTAATAACAATTTTTATGTCAATTAATACATTAAACTTTAAACTCTGTGATTTTAATAAATTAATAATAAATCATCTCATTATTGAATATAAATTACGTTTAAATTATAAGTTGAAATTTATAGCGTCTAAAATAATGCTAGATTGAAATCGATGATAGCGTTAGCGTTGTTTTGCGAGTGGAACGCAAACAGAAGTGAACACTAGCGCTCTCACTCAATAGAACTAAAAATTAAAAAATTTTTTCAACATCTATCCCACTAATTTATAAAAAGTTTTATAAATAAAATTTATTTTTTATATTTCTTAATGATGATTTTTTTAGATTAATCGTATAAAAATTATTTGGCAATTTTTCCATATCAATGATTTGAATATTTCTATAAATATTCCGTAACAATTTGTGACATGACTTTTTTACAATGTATATTGATGAAAATATATACCTTAGCCACCAACAGACTCATTTTTTAATTTTTAATCACAGTAACTAGAAAATAAATTTTTTTAACTATCAGTCGTTGCATAATTCGTTGAGTCTTCGATACTTATTGTACATGGAACATACTCATGGTCAGAATCCTATAAAGAATCATTCATTAGGAATGTTCATTCGATTATTTTTTGTATATTTGCAAAGTCATACCGTACTAACTATAATTTGTTGATCATCTCCTAAATTAAGTTCATCAACTTCTCCTTTAGTTAAAATGATGACAGAATTTTCTGGTACATTATTTTCATCAATGTATGTCAATGGAATTTCAGATGAAACCTGAAAATAATACTTTATTTGAATCGGTATGTTCAATAACTTTTTAATAATTAAAGATTCAAATAAAAAATATTCACCTCACACAGTGTAGTATCAGAATCATTTTTTTGTTCAATTTCTTCTTTGACAATCGATTGTATAAGCTGTGATTGTCGTTTAGGATTTTTCGTCCTATCTATTTTTTTATTTTCTTGTTGAAGCCGACGCCATATAGTAGTTTTTGGAATATGGTATGCAATAGCTGCCGCTGCTTGGGACATTTTGCCTTCCATACAAGCAGCAACAGCTTGTTCTAAACGCATTTGTTTCACTTTTTCATCTTCAGTCTTTCTTCTCTTCCAAAAAGTCTCTGGTAATTTTCCTTGATCTACTAATTTCACTTTATCACGAAATAACGTTGTCTTAGGTATCTAATAAAATAAATAATCATAAAGAAGAATAAAAAATTACTGATAAAAGTAAATTTTGATTATAATGAAACTAACCTGAAATTCTAACGATACTTTTGTTAGATTCTCTCCTCTTTGTAAAGCTTTTATAGCAGCTTCTCTTTTATCAGAATCATATGATCTTTTAGTTTCCGATCTCAGAGATTGATAATTTTCTTTTTGAATTCTCCTCCATAAAACTGTTTTTGGTATGCTGTACAATTCAGATGCATGTTGAAAACTTGAACCACCTTTAACAACAAAATTTTAATAAATTAAGATCTTCTAAAAATTGTTATAAATGATTTAACTTACTCATGACTGCATTTATAGCTGCTTGTAAACATTCAGCAGGATATTCATGTCTAGTTGTATTTAATTGTAATCCTAACGCTTTAGCTCGCATGTACAATGTTGAACGTGGAACATTATTTTTGGTAGATGCATCTACTAAAGATAAACCTGCACGAACATCACTCAAAGCCATTTCGAGCATATCATTATTATACTCTTTTCTGGTATAATCTCTTCTGCGTTTCCGTTTTTTAGAAATTTTCTTGTGTGATGGCTCACTCAATGAATAAGTTTCATCAGTATTTGGATCACGCTCAGCAGGTTTCCAGGCATTATCAGATTCATTTGAATCACCTACCGAATCTACTGTAACTTCTTTACATTCATTAGATACGTCATCATCCAAACTCTCAATCTAAATATTAAAAAAAAACAGTTTTTTAATAAATAAAAATTTTCAAAGATTTAAAAAATTTTTACCTCCATAAGCCCACATATTTTAAGTAGATGTGCGGCCTCTAATAAACTGTTGATGTTTTCAACAGGTATTCTGACTTCACCACGATAAGAAAACTCCACTATTGACTTCATGTCTTGAGGTGAAATATCACTAATTATAATTGTGGGATGATCTTCAGGTGTTTCACTGAGTATTTCCTTTAATAGACAGAATCTTTAGTTATTAAAAGAAGTTCAAGATTATTGAGTAGATAGTAAGGAGTATTCATTTACTTGAAATAATGTACTACAAGCACATAAAACCATTCGGTGAGCATGAATTCTCTCACCAGCAACAGAAAGCGTCACGTCAACCATACATCCATCATTAAGAAGTTGCTGCACAACTCCTGACAAATGATTTTCATAGTCACACCATGTAAAACAAAAATTTTGTTCATCTTTACTTTGAGTTTCAACGTCAGTCATACTGTTTCAATTTCGTTTCTCCAATAAATTGAATACAAATCAAATGAAATGTTTGTTTTGTAAGAGAATCTTGGAGGAATTTGGAACAAGGACTAGTGCACTGATAATACGCTATCAACCATAAACTATACAAAATAAGCTGATACTTGTTATCGATGCATTATACAAAGCAAAAAAAATTTGCAAAAACTAATCTAGAATTATATATGAAAAGGAATCAACTTTTTGCAATAATTGTAATTTAGCAATAATAATAAAACTCAATTTCCATAAAAATAGTTACTCAATAGTGATCATCACGACACCTACACTTTTAAAGAGAAGTATCTGAACGGATGAGCCATATTGCTTATTCCAGCATTCACTTCCGGTGTTTAAAGTAAAATAGTAAGGAGTATCTCACTCAACAAAATACGTTTATAATTATAAATAATCTAAAAAAGAAAAACTAAATGAATAGGAGTTTTGTTTTCTCTGTGAAGTACTCGTTTCATTCTTTAAATGTTAATAATAACAAAGATCTAATTTTTGAATGTATTTTTTTTTTCAAATTATAAAAAATACATGTAATAAATGCTTTTATATTTTTGGGATCATTCTTCTTGCAGCTGGTTGATACCATTTTTGTAGCCTGAAAAATTATATTTTAAATTTATTCTTGAAAATCTTAATGTGAGTTATGATTAATTTTACCTGGTTTTTTCCTCACAATCTTCTGCTAACGATATTTTAGCTTTCATATCAATAACAAATTCAATATCATCTCTGATCATCTTCAAACGTGCACGTTTTGCCGATACTATTGACCCAATCGGAAAATTAACAGTTTCTGCTACATTCTCCCATAATGAAACAAGTGCTGAACCCGATTCATCTTCAATTCGAATATTGCGGCATTTTACACACCTATTGTTACTACGAACATCAAGTAATTGAGACATCCATATCAAAACACCTATAGCATCTAGAAAATTAAAATGAATCTTACTGTCAATAATTCTTTATTTTAATTAAAATCTTCTCTCATTAAATTTATCTTCTAGAGAATACATACCAACACGATCAACGGACCGTATAGAACTTTTTATACTTTGCAATGACTTATATTTTCCTCCATTATAAGTCATCATGGATGGCATTACTGGAGGATGTTCGTATACACGAGTATTATCTAAATAAAGTGCGACTTTTGAAGACGGACGAAAGTTTAGCTTGTATCTTTCATTTCCAGTTGACATTGATACAGGAAGTTCATCTACTACAGCATTTTCTACTTCTATTATGGCACCGATCTACAGAAAAAAAGATTTTCGAAAATGTTACAATCAGCGCTTTGTAGATAAAATCATCTTATTACCTTAAGGAAATTATTTATAGCAGTACAAATAGGCTCAAAAATGACACAAGAAATTTCTCCAGATGAATCTTTTAAACGACATCGTCTGTAACTGCATCCTCGAGCACTTAAAGTTATTGCTCCGCAAATTTTAACACATCCTCGAATCAAAGGACTGAAATTTCTTTTTATTAGGTCTATTATTCTACTGATTTAAAGAATGAAAAGTTTAGAAAATTTCAATATTTGCCTGTTTTTTGTTAATGTTAACGATGTTATCAAAGAAGCTGTTTTGCCATTTCCAACAAAGGCTTCCAGTTCAGTAGAACTTATTTGTATATTTGGACTTTTATTCTCTGATGGTTGAACATTTGTAACCTGTGATGTGTGATTTCTTACATCTGAATTTTTATTTTCTGATAGTTGAACATTTTTAGCCTGTGATTTATTATTTCTTTCATATAAACTATTATTTTCCGATGTTTGAACAGTACTTTCAGCTTTTGATTTCTTATTTCTTTCATCTGCAAGTGTTCTGAAAAATTTAATTCCACCAATCAGCGTATTAGTAAATGATAATTATCAATTAATTTAACTGCTACTGATAAATACTGATTTATACTCGGATTCTTATTTTCAAATGGTAGAATAGCCTCTTTCACAGTAACTACACTATGTAATTTAGTCTTTGGTTCCCTACAAACATTAATATTCATCAATTTTCAACTTTTCATATAAGTCATTTTTTACGATAAAAATAGTGACAAAATTTACACTTTTTTCTCAGTAATTTCTACTTTTTTGAACTCGGATTCATTGTCAGACTCATCTGTACTTTCTAATTCAGGTTCAGAACACTTTTTGTTTTTTTTTCGATGTGGAAGCATTTGACGTGTTGTAACTTTAGCTGTCATATTTTTCGAAGGATTTTTAAAGGTTGTTCCATTAAAAATTTCAATGTCATTTATCCCAATAACATTTATATAAGTTTCTCTAGAAATTAATTTTATTTTCTTTCATTTTGATGTACTCGAGGGTAGATGGACATTAAAGACTTACAATGGGTTTTCGACAAAATATTTAGCTTCAAATTGGTGTAAATAATAATGTTTTAGTTTGATAACTGGCTGAAACACCAAGTCTTGTATGAAAATTTCTTCACTAAGTGATATTGAAAACATTGCCCATATTTCTTTTCCATTTCTTTCTTCAAGTATTAACCAATATCTATCTTTGTCTTTGTCAACTTCCTTCGAAAATATTTCTTAATAAATTAATAGACAATAATTTATTATGAAAATAAACAACTCAGACATAATTTACTTACTTTAACTTTGAGAATTAATAATGGGCATTCTTTTTCACCATGCTGATCTCCATATTCATGAATGCCCTATTTAACAGGAAAAATGAAGTCATTGAATTACTATCACAAGAACTGTCATTTTATTTACTTACAAAAAAATTACCTCTATAACATTCGATGACAATTCTAATTTATTTTCCAGGCGATTTAACATAATGATTGTTTACTTTATTGTGCTCCTTAGGCCGGCAATCATTTGAGATTCTAAATAATTTTTCTCTGATTAGTTCGATTTCCGACCACTACGCGGCTCTAGTTATTAGGCCGCACAGTGGTGGAAAATTGTTCTCTCACGAATGCAAATCGTTTAGTTTTATTTACACACAACTGATATCAATTT